TGCGGCCGTAAATCTACCCGGCGGGAGGACGCTGGCGATAAAGAGATGAAGAGTAACGCCGTAACTTTTTAATTCCCCGGCATAATTCAGCCTGAGGCGACATTAAGATGCTGTTTTGATGGTGTTTTTCTTCTTCCGCACAAAAAAGAAAATGAAAATAATGAGCCAGGGCTGGATTGTCTCACGGCGAAGCAGCATTTTTCCGAGAAACAAAGGCAATGATTTTTGAGGTGGGGGAGGGTGGGTTTTTTTTGTTTTTTGTTTTTTGTTTTTTTTTTTAGGGGTGAGTTTGGGGTAACATGAGTAGTTTATCATTGTTATTGCTCTAGGCAAGGTTTTTACTGAGAACAACAGCGCAGAAGGCATTGTGATGCGACCGGAGATCGTTATTTGGACAAAAAGCTCTTAAAAACGGTGATGAACGCGTCCTCGTAACCGCCGTTTTTCATGATGAATGCTCCAAAACGATCCATTTTGGACACCGTGCTCCACCAACATTAAACGAGGTGAAGGCAAAGGAGCATTATTATTTTGTGCCGCCCGTCTGTCTGCTCGACCGTCTTCAGTTTGCTGCTCATTTGGCCAAATGATGGCAAATTTTTCAGAGCGTTGGGGGAAAAAAAAAAATGGCTTCCTCAAACCAAAATGGCCGACTTCCTTTTCATTTCTCGGCATGGGTCCTCAAGAATTTTTTGTGCATCCTGAAATGATAGACATGGCCACTCAATTTTGTGTTTTTGGTGAAACAGGTGTTGGGGGCTTATTTTTTTTGTAACTTGCGCATGTGTTTGCCAAAACAAATGTTCCCTTTTTTTTTTTTAATTCTTAAAATGACAACATAAAAAGAATTGATGCCATGGCACTCCCGAAAAATACAGTTTGTCGCCTTCCAATCAAGGGAAATCCAAAATTTGTTTTAAAAATATATCAAAAACAAATTTTCCTTCTTTAAAAACAACCCCCCCAAATTTTTGTGTTTTTTTTTTTAATGCGTCACTCACATGCCTTTTTTTTTTTTTTAACTACAAAATCTAAAAATCTATTCTTGTTTCTGCGTTTTATAACAAGCGATCATTTCGAGATGATGTCCTGGCCTGACCTCTTGGCACTAAGACGACATTCTTTGGCCTAACTTTTGAGTTGCGTTTCCGGCGTGCCACAAAGCTTTTAGGGCTCCTTTCACGCCAACCTTGTTCAGCGCTGGCTGGGTTCAGCCACTGCATTATAAATTAAACACCTGCGGTGTGTCACCTGACTGTCGTGTGGCATGCAGAGGACGGCGCAAACACACTGAGAGCTGTTTAGATCCGTGACCCAGTTGTTGAAAGCACCTGCAGGGCCGGCGCTCCCGAAACGCATCCCAACATGTGTCAGGCTGCTTGTCGACAGTCCGCCGCGGCGCTAACACTCAACTGCGGAGGTGAAGGCGCGTGAAAATTCAGCCCCTGCAGGTGGTTTGACTTCTCGGCACAAAATTGGGTAGGCATGTCTGTCATGAGTAGATCCACCAAAAAAAAAAAACCCTCGAGAAGCAATAACTGAAAGACAAACAAAATCGGCTGTGATGTTTTGAAGAAACCAATTGAAGCTTATATGGGGCCTTTTCCTGGTCAATAGCAATGGCCCCCTGGAACATTTGGAAAATTCAGTTCCAAAGGGCTGTTTCGCCCCGCAACATGAAATTTGGTAGACTTGTTTGTCATGAGTAGACCCACAAATAAAGTCTCAAGAAGTCATCCCTAAAAAACATAAAGTTTGCAACTTTTGAGTCGCTTTGGACATTTCCAGGTTGGTAGCGGCCCATAATTTGAATGAAATTCAGCCCGAGAAGCCATTTTCCATGAGCAACTTGAAATTTGGTCTTTACATGAGTAGACCCACAAAAAAAGTCATGAAAACACATAGCAAGTATACAATTTTAGGGTTTTGGTCAATTCCGGGATGATAGCGCCCCTTCATTTTTATTTTATTTTATTTTTTTGAATATTCACTCAGCAACCTGCAATTTAGTCGACATCTTGATTAAGCCCACAAAAAAAAAAAAAAGGCTCATAAAGCCTTGCCCTAAAAGAAAGGGGAAGTCTGCAATTGTCGGACCCATTTCATCCTTTTGCAGGTTGGTAGTTCTCATGAACCCCCCTACAACTGATCTCCCCCCCCCCCCAAAAAAAAACCACATCCCCCCCCCCCCCCCCACTAAGATATATCCTTTTGGACTGCCTCTGGATTTCCCACGATGCACCTCTGCCATTCCCCTTTTCTCTGACTTTCCGCCGGCACTTTTGCAGCTGCTCTTCTGATCGTTACGATCACTCAGTACGACGCACCGTTATTATCTTCAACACATTTTCCTTCCTCACACTGCCGGATCGCTAACAAGAGCGAGTGATTGGCAGCTAGATAAATCCGCCGCAATAACGAGCGGGAAAACCATTTTTTTTCCCCTCCAACTAAAATAACTCGAGAGTTTCTTTTTTAAATGAGATCCCGAGGAAGCACCTGGCACTCGCGGGGGGGGGGGGGGGTAGGGGGGGGGGGCTTGGTTTTGCAGTGATGCTAATTGGACCTTGTCTTCGCCGCTCCGTCACCCAGTGTGGGATGATCAAGGTGTCAATTAGCGCAGGTGCGAGGAAACGTGGCTTAATGACAACGGCGCCTTTCAAGCAAAAAAAAAAAAAAAAAAACAGACGAGCAGAAGCGTCGAGCTTCTGGCGGCTAAAAACAGCAGGAGGGGGATGAGCATCACAGTTAAAGTTCATCAAAGGTATCGCGGCGTGCGTCAAGTCAGCCCAGCCTCGATACGACTTGGCGGCGGTGGCAAGTAACAAAGTCAATAGTTGGTTGCTGCACTTCAGGAGAATTTTCAGGTCCGGTCCAACCTCGTTCTGACGTACCCTCGAGTTACGACGGCGGTCCGTCGGAACCGTTCCCTGCCAACTACCCCCAAAGCCATTTACGACAGTCTTTCAATCTGTTGGCCTCGAACTCTTGTCTTGATTTTGTCGCCGTCAACGGATGATTGTCGAAATGGTCGACTTTGCCAATTCAATTGTGAGCCTCCCTTTCGAAAGCGAGAGACAATTTCAGCCTTCGCAGACAGCGAGATTCGCTTCCGTTGGCCAGACGTGGTTTCAGAGATGTGCTCAGGACCGCGCCGTGCCTCCGGAAGTACGACGACGAAGCGAGGCCGTGGGCAGCGTTGCTAAGCAACGGAGGGGAATCCCGCAGTGTACGTTTTAAAAACTGGAATGTCGTTGAGTGTCATGTTGGCACCTCGTCTTTTTTTTTTTTTTTTTAATTTCTTCCCTTAAAGCCCATAAAAGTCCATCTGCACGTGCCTCCCTTCTCCCGCATCTTCCCAAAGAAATCCCATTAATATCCATTAACGTCGCCAATGTCACCTTGCTCCGAGGCAGAGACCGATCGAAGGAGATGAATCAAACGCCGAGACGATTGCTGAAAAGGAAAGGTAGAGCGAGGGGAGCTCGGGGCGGCTCTCGGCGCAACATCGATGAGCTACGGGAGCTGTTTGAACCCCAAACCCGTAAGAGTCTCTTTAGCCGCGTGACTGGCTACGGGCTGCCTTCTTCACACCGATCGCGTATCAGCGCGCAGGTCACCAGATGATGCGATCATCCAATCCTCACCAGTTGCTCTTATTACCTGGCTGACCTTTCACTGACGCTTCAATTTCCCCAAAATCGTTTTCGTCCTCTCTCTTGATCATATTCAGCTGTCAGTTTCACTGTGGTGCGGCGTTGCCATGGCGACTTCATCACTTGGTTTGTCGTGTTTTATCACAGACACAAACACGCGCTTTCGAAGTCGGCTGTTGGTGGGGAGGTCGATGTTGCGATAATGTGATGCTTGAATAAAATGAAACGTTTTCTTCAGGGCCAAGCATGAAGTCAACAGCGGCTTCGAATCGCAAAAGGCCATGAACTCGCATCCGAAATTAGCCGTTAGCGTGGCACCTTTTCCACTGCTGTTTCATCGACAAGCCCAATTAGCCGCAAGGCTACGTTTTCCTTCCCGAGGTGACACGTTTCGACTGAGCTTTCCGCGGCTAATTTGTCCTTTTCACATTTGCGCCAATGCCGTTCGGGCGCGCTCAGCCGAGGAAACTTCTCGCGATCCTCGGAGGCTAATAGGGAAGAGCTATAAAGTCAATAACGGATGAAAGAAGGTACGAGGGTGTCTTGTCCAGCTAGCGTCAATGAGCTCATGGAACGTGACTGCTTTTATCGCACAGGCCTCGTGCAGGCACAACCTGGACTGGTTGCCGTTCACTCGCAGGGCATTCACAGCTACGTCCAGATCAGGAATTGGTGAATTTGTCCACATTTGCCTTACGACTGACAGACGAGCAGTATCTCTCGATAAAAGTCAGTCAAGGTAAACTCGCGCTCACCTGTGACCCTGCAACGGGCAATATGTTTTTGCTTGAAAAAAAAAAAGCCTCTAAATAAGGTGCTGGCTGGCAGACGGCCATCGCGGGAGGGCGAGCTGGCTTCCTAATGAGGCGGAAAAAGCAGCAGAGGTGTTCTCGGAGTGACCCTCACGGAAGGACGCTTTGAGCCGGGGCCCATCTGGTTGCCATCGCTCAGACCTGCAGACCCTCGCCTGGGACAAGCCCAGTCCACGTGCGTGCGCTCACAAGTAGGCCTGCGAAATTTCATGAGTTTGGTAGGTTGGAAACTTTACAGGGGAATTAGTTTAAATTTGTGGGAGGAGGAATTTGCATGAACGGAATTGCTATTCATATGTTCGCGCCTCTTGAAAAATAACAAAAAGGTTCTAAAACATAAATGTTCACCTGTTTATTACGTTTGACAAGTTTTTGTATTCTACGATTAAAATTCTGTTCTTGCCATGCTTTATTTTTGTTACAGCTGCAACTGTTGTGAACGCGCTATAGAAATCAGGATGTACTGTATTGTATTTCTGTATATTGTATTTTTAAGCTTTTATTTTGGCGCTTTTCCGTTAATTCAGGAAGTGCCGATCCACACGCGACCTCTTGACTTCAAGAAAAAATAAGTCGGCGATTTAACACGTTGTTGATTGAAAGGTTGTTGTACATCGTTGCTGTTCGATGTCACGAATTTTAAATTGATGCAAGCTCCTGGCTGGAATGGGGAAAAGGTATTTATGTTGTTTGATTGTTTCCTTATTTTTTTTATGATGCGAGTTACCCATCGAAAGATGTTTCCTATGTTGTTTATATTGCGGTTACGCTAATGATAGCCACAGCCCCCTCTCCTTCTGAATTTAAATCCCGACATGGAAAGTTTCCCGTTTTAAATATTAACCAAATGCCCCCCCCCCCCCCTGCACTGAAAATTTGCTCGCAAATTTTCTTCGGATTTACTTGAAACTTTGTACCCACCCGGAATCCAACTCAGAACAAGATCTGAGAAAGTAAATATGTTTGTTTACGAGCTAACATACAGTTTCTGAAAAGACGGTTGACACTTTTGGGGTGGGGGAGATTTAGATGTCACGGCAGCTCAGAGCTGTCGTCCGATCAGGAGGATTATTGTGGAATCGACGACAAACACGCTCCGGTTTAGCGGGACTTTTAGTGTGGAAAATTAGACGGATCACAACAAGTGGGACAACAACAAAAGTTCTTAACTTGTTCAATCCAAGATGAACTGTCGGGGTTTATTGTCCTATCACTCAGGTCTGTTTTCCTTGTCGTTATTATACCAGGCAAGATTTGCAGCTTGTCTTACAACATCAAGACAATTTCATTCAATCAAAAAATAAATGAAATCAATGTAGTCAATGCAGTAAAGGGAAAAACACTATAATGCTTTGGCTAATGCAGTTTTGACAAATAGTACATTAAATTTAAAAAAAAAGGAGACCAAATGAATTCATCGCAATGGCTTTTCCAAACTGTAAATAACTGACCGATACGTAAAAAATTGGCCCAAAAACAATTTCCACAAAACGTGGTCGTGGTGCAACACATCTGACTCTTTACAGTTTTTAACAAATCAAATTGACTTTTTTCAGGATTTTTTTTTTTTTTTCGGCGGGAGGTTGTTGTTCGTTGCAATTTGGCTATTTTTTGGGGCCTTTGCTAAAACAGCGCCGATGACTTTCTGCGTAGCACGGGATTCACCTCAGCCTAGCGAGCCCACAAAAGCTCACTTCCTGGAGTGGCCGCTCCTCTCGACACTGAAAGCAGTCATTAAACGCCTCCATAATGAGCCAGGCTGGTGCTAATGCGCGAAATCGACATTCCCGCCCGCTTTGTCTGCCTCGGCGGGGAGCTGCCGCTGGCCGCGACTTTCCATTAGCGTGCGCCACAGCACTCATTTCCACGCAAAATACTCCTTTCCTCCTCAAGGATTCAGCTGGCACAAAATGCTGTTTTCAAAACTACAAAAAGTCAATGAGGTGTTTATTTTTATGAATAGACCACATGAGAGTTTTAACTAGTCATTTGTTCAGGATTGAGGAAGTTAGGATCAAATCAATCCAATCCATCTTCCTTTTCATGAACATACCACGTGAGAGTTTTAACAAAATCGTTTGTCCGATATTACAGCAAAAACTTTTGTGATTGTGGACGACATCTGGCACAGTGGCTAAGGAAGCTCGGGTCAAACCAGTCAATTTTGTTCCTTTTCATTAATATACCACGGGATTTTCAACTCAAATTTTCGATTGTTTGATTGTCCCGCAACAAAATAAGAACCCTACTGATTGTGGACGGACATCCGGCGCACAGCGCTTGACAAAGCAGGCGTTGAAGCAGTCACTTGTGTGTTCCTTTTCATTAATATACCATGTGAGAGTTTCAGCGAATCGATTATCCACCATCACTTCAGGAAGCCCTGCCGATTGCGGATGACATCGAGCACAAGGTGAGAATCCAAAATCCGTCTTTTCTCTTCAAGGATCGAGCCAGTACAGGAGAGCTGTTAGCATGTTAGCGTGTAAGGTGCCGCCCGTCGCAGTGGTCGCGCACACAATTTTGCCCTCAAGTGCAGCTACTGTAGAGACGTTCTGTCAAGCGGTGTGACCCCCTCCCCGTCCACGCCAAATGTGTTTGTGGCCCCTCAAGGCCCGCCAAAGCTTGCTGTTGTGGTCAGCCAGATGTTTACATCCAGAGCTGAGGAATTGATGGCTACAGCGGGACTCTTCTGTCAGCGCTGATTTATTTTTGTCTTCTTTTTTTTTCCTCCTAGTCAAGACGTGGACAAAATGACTTTCGTAGAAAATGTCCTCATAAGGGAGGATATAGGCGGACAAAAAAAAAAATCAATGTCCCTCTAGGACAGTGCTTCTCAATTATTTTCTGCTCCGCCCCGCCCCCCACAATAAGAAGAAAACAATACACGCCCCCCTCCCACTCTCTGCCGCCACGATAAATATAATTTCTCTCTCAAATTGTCATCAGTATAACTCTGCATTACATTGTATCCTTATTAACATTAAAGAAAAGAAAGAAAAATATAGTTCCACTTACAGCAAAGAATAACTCGATTAATATATATATTTTTTTAGTCTGTAAGAGAAAAGATTTTAAGTGCATCAATTTGCATGGGGGGGGAAAAAAATCCTTGTTTAAACTGTAAACATTTTTGACCAACTTATTGCACCATTACATTCTGAAAACTAAAATGAAATAATGTCAATAAATAATTGCAAATTCAAATTCAGTTCAACAACATGAACTCAGGAACACAATGCACAAAACATTGGAGTCGACAAAACACCATCGAGCGAATACTTCCTGCGCACTCTCTAACAATGAGGGTCCCACTGCCAACCGCTGGAGTGGATGTGCAATTACACTTTATTCTATTTTCTTCAAAAAAAAAAAAAAACGCTGGTCATGAGAAGGTGGACGCGTCCTTATCAGGACATTTTGATCAGATAGAAGTGGAAATTTCCGTCCAGCTTTAGATTTGAAGTCATCTCATCTGGCTTTCTGCTGATGAGTGACATCAGAGTTGCATTTATTAGCGCCGCTTTTCCGTTGGTGACATTTTTCTATGCCCTTCGGATAAAGTGGACGCAAAGCGCTGCCACTTAGCCGTGACTGACATCATCACGACAATACGGCGTCGATATATTTCCGGCGAGATGTGACAGCTGTTTAAAAAAAAAAAAAAAGAAAGAAAGAAAAGAAACGTTCTGTTGTCACTCTCCGCCAGCTGTCAGCAGAAACGACACTGACGCCGACGTCTTCCTTAAAGCACAGACAATTTCACACACGAGAGATTTACATGTCGACAATTTATCGCAGGTCTCTGAGGCGGAATACCAAAACAAAAAAGGATGGGCGTCAGCCTTGGAGGGGCGCAAACGTATGCGGAGGGGGGGGATAACGCTTCAGCCAAAAATAGATATTCTGCCTCCTGTGTGTTAAGCGTGTGTACACCGATTCGGTGAAACGGGCGAGTAATTCCTCCGCCCCAAATTTAGCTCGGCAGAAAAGTCGCTTGATATGCAAATGGACCGTTGAATGATTCATGGCGTCTTGGCGAGGTAGCGAGTGCGTGCGAAGCAAAGCCCAATACAGCATCAAATATACATCACAACTTCCGATTTATTTATTTTTTTCCTTTTACGTTACACATCGTCTGCGACTTAATGAGGAAGTGCGCGTCTGCCCGGTGCCCTAACGAGTGCGACCTCCGCGTCGGGTTCGTCGTCATCAGTGGAGTCGTACAGACAAGACGGTAGTCGTCGTGCAATGAATCATTCAGCGCGCCTTCTGACAAATGAAGCCGTTTTGTGCCACAAAAGTCATTCCGAGGAGTAACCAACCGTACACAGCGGCATTCGGAGCAAAAATGTTTATTGCGACATTATGCACTGCGGAATTTAATAGCGAAACGAAAAGTAGAGCAACGCTTTACATAAAACGGTTATTTGAAGCAGCGCATTTTGTGTAGTGTTATGTAGCATATAGTTAGCTAGAACACCGCAACGTAGTGTGTCAATATGCACAGCAACATTATCTAGCGTGACGTTTCGAACATGATATCGTGTCGCGCTCAGTTGTGTCGCCGAATGTAATGTCGCACAATGGTTTGTACATAACAACGTAGCATAACATGATGAATGTCAGCGTTAGCTAGCACAACCATATGTTCAACAATTTTATGTCATGTAAAGATATGTAGCATCGTGTTCAGAAGCGCAGTTTAATGTTGCCCGTTTTTATTAGCAGCGATGTTTTATAGCGTCACTTTATCATGAGTAACATGATGTTGAGCAGTATTATGTGACGTAACATCGTTTGGCTAATGCTACGTAGCATAACGCATTGTCGCGAAATGTTACGTAGCATGACCGAACGCAGCGTCACGTCACGTCATGTAGCAAAATCTTGTAGCCTAGCATGACGGTATGGAGCATAGCATCAATGCAGCGCACTTTAGCGCTGAGCTTAACATTCGGGTTTTGGGATTATTTTAAGCCGGGGTTGTGTTTCAATATCTTGAGTTTAAGGCTGAATTAGGGTTGAACATTTGGGTTTGCATTGAGACAGGTTTGGGATTTCAAATTTTGAAAAAACGGTGAAAAGAAATTCACCGTCGAAAAACGACTATATATTTTTTCATTCATGATGGGATGTTTTTGCGCTCTCTCCGAGTTCATTTCCTGAGCTGCGACAAGTTCCAGGTGTTTATTTTGTAGCGTCGTTTGTTTGAGGTGACACTTTTTGGCCGAGGCATTTATTTATGTGGAAGGTTTATTTATTGGAGTGGGTGCCGCACGGAGCAATTAAGCGACGGCCCTTCTAACCGCACTACTGCAAGTACTTTTGAGATACTTAAGCATTCCTTCTGCACTCTTGAAATAAATGAGATCTTCATTTTGAACTCAAACTTGTCACTATCGATCGGGTTGAAGCCGGCTAACCGGAATGTTCCTCCTCCTCCCTCAGCGCCGGCATCGCGAGCATTCCGCCTCATGTTTCGCTCGTTTGGACAAAACGCCATCCATCATACTTAGAAAAACATATTAGCTTATGTTTTTGTGCTCGCGGATGAATTATTCAACAAGCTATTGGTTATCTGGACTGGGCCCCGGCAAAGACGATGGCTTCTTTTTTTTTTTTTTTCCTCTCACAATCGCTCAAAGCGCTCGCTCTAATCCAATTGCGGTTTTACCGAGAGGTCCATCTGGTGGCATTAGGCGCAAGGACAACTGTATTGGTCCACCGTGATTGTTTTAGACAAAGTGCGCGCTGTCATAACAGCACAAAGTTTGCATTCAAGTGTCAGCTCGGTTTTGCGTCATATTTAGCGCTGCATTACGCAGCGTAGCGGACGACGGTGCGCTAAACCTCTGCTACGCGTACAAGACTCAAGTGTTCAATTAACTGAAAAGTACTGGCAAAAATATCAACGACAAAATCGACCTGCGACGTGGACTCGTCTTTCATCATCGGCTCGACTTTAAAAAAAAAAAAAAAAAAAGTTGTTCAGTCCCAAAGTGAAAACATCTTGTTCTTTGAATTTGGTTACGTTACTTAATGTACTGTTGCATAACGTAATTTTTTTGTGAAAGTAAAGCGAAGCTGTAAAAAAAAAAAAAAAACGTAATAACTGCAAGCATAACGTCGTGTTTCATCTGAGGATTAAGGTGTAGAGCGGTGAGACAAAGAAGCAAACGCTGCGCGGGAGCTTCCCGTGAGGCCCATTTGCAATCCTCTCAGTCTCCTGCCGTTCGCCGCCGTGTTAAATCAGTGTGCTGTGAAATGTCATTAAAAAAAAAAAAGGGGGCCATAATGGGGTTGGCGTCAAACGGATTTCCAGAGAAGGACTTATTCCCCTCGCCATGCCGGTCGCTTTCACCCTTTAGGGATTTATTTCATCCAGCCGGTACCGGATACGCACTCACCCGCACACTCGGAAAAATACGGAGAAGAGCTCACAGAGTAAATAGTTACCGAGGCAGAAATAAAAAAAATCGGGATCTGCTCGGGGCCTTTGCAGCCTCACTGCAGCACAGCAGATAGCAAAGCAGCTTGAGATGAACCCCGGGAAGGGACAACCAATGAGCACCAACGCAGGCTGGATTGTTTACGAAAGGTATGTGAATTTTTCTTTGGGGTGTTTTTTTTTTTTTTTTTTGTCTGTGTTTTTGCGATACCACCACAGAAAGCTTCCAGTGATGACCAACTAATGGAGCGTAATGTTATGCAGCGGGCTAACGTAACGTAGCACAATGTAACGTGATGTGGCGTGACGTTACGGAGCATTAAGGTTATGTACTCAAATGTTCTGTCGCCCGGATGTCCTGGCATTGCCCCCCCCCCCCCCAAAAAAAATGCAAAGCATCCAATCGCTTTATTCTGATGACATCCCATTCTTGACGGGAATGTTAAAATGTTGCTTCCAACATCGTCTTCATCAAGGTTTTCTGATGATGCCGACCGTTTCGGATCAATTCAGTTTACTTCCAATGAGGCAAAAATGTGCAATGGCAATTCATCGTGGGACCCAAAAAAAAAAACAAACAGGTACGCTGTGGCAACCCGCAGACAGACAGCAGATGTAAACGATTTGGACAACGTCACAAACAATTATTTCCCTCCTGCATTGGCGTCCCTGCCGGCAGGGACTTCTCTCCGCGTCCGTATTTGCCGTCCTTCGCTCCGATAACCCAATCTGGTCTTTTGATCCATTTTCCTCATACAATTTGCATGAAATAATGTAACTTCGCTCTCAACACCACCGACGGTACTGCTGACATGATTACGACTTCTTCTGAAAAATTTCCCTCTGGGGGCGGGGAAATGCCAGGATATCATCATATAACCACTAGCGAGTGGCTACTTCCATGCACAAATTTCGTCATCAAGATTTGTATGGTGTTCTTTTAATTTGGTTTAAGTTTTTTTTTTTTTCCCCTTCACACGCTCGTAAGTCATGCCATGTAACCTAGCGTAACGTAGAAAATGAGCATGACATAGCATATCTTTGCATCAGGTAATTTGTGTGCGTGTAATGTAACACGGCTAAATATCACTTAGCATAACATCAAAAGTCAAGCGGTCGATCAGACTGAAATATAGAAGCTGTCAAAAATGTAACGAAGCACGAAGTTGCTGTCTTGTCGTGCCACGTAACGTAGCAGAATGGAACGATCCGTAACGCATTGTAACGTGAGGCAATGTAGTAGAACTTGATGTATTGTAACGCAACGTAGCGTAACCGTGTCGAGTAGCGTAAGGGAACGTCGCGTCACGGAATGTAGCCAAACAAGTCGCTTAACATGATGTCGCGGAGCGTTACGTCGCTCCAGTCCGTCTTGTTACCCTGTGACGCGTCTCTGACGGGAAGCTGTTGAGTGTGTCACATCGAGTCACGCGGCCGTTGGCCCGCTGTCATCCCGTGATGAGCTGAGCGTGTGCGACAGACAGACAAGGCCCGCAAGATAATTGCCCTGCGCGGATGCCCTCCGAGCAAGCCACAAAGACAAGGGGACGGGAATAAAGGGAAACGGATTACAGAATTAGAAATGAAGGCAGCGAGGGGGAATGGCGCAACGTTTCATTAGCCGATATTAGTCAAAAGAAGAAAAAAAAGGAAAAAAAAGACCTTCAAATGTTCTCTGAGTCAGAGCCACTGGGGACTCGCAAAGACAGGCCTTTCGCGTCCTTTGGTCCTTTTTTAAATTCAAACGTGGCGCTCGGAGGTCGCGCGGCAGGTGTCAAAGGCGAGGCGGGAGGAAGGCTAACGGGGATCCCGGGTGATAATGTCGGGAAACGAGGGAGGAGAAACGACAGCCGAGGTCGGCGGAGCGGTGAACGGACTCCTCAGGTGTCCTCTGGGACTTGGATATGCTAATGGTCCACAGTGTGGCACCGCTAGCCAGGATTGGAGGTATCTTAGCGTTAGCCGGATTGAGCTTTTTTTTTTTTTTTGTTTTGACCCTACATGGCCACCATATTTCTTACTCATATTCAGCAGATTGAGTTCAAGAGCTGAATCTGGTCGCAATGTTTCTGTTCTGTAAGTTAAAGGATATTTCATGTTGCATTCTTACAACATTTTGTTGCTGCTTCTCCTTCGGAAAACGGGTTAGCCATTTCACCCAATTTGGGTTACTTTTGACCCAGTGCTTTGAAGCGTTTCACCCTGGCCCAAAAATAATTGTGTCCATAATTTCCCACTACCCAGAATCTGGAACCCTGAAATCATTTTACAGTATCGTCCTGACAATGACTACTACTGAGAAACTTCTACTGCTGTTTTTTTTTTTTTTTTTTACACTTCCAATTCTTCACACTCCACCCCCAAATGTGCCCCCTGAGCAAATCTGTTCTGCCTACTACTTCCAGTCACGACTTGCGCTATCCACCTGGGTGCACTCTGGTGTGTCATCACCTTCATGGTCAAGCCGGCCCAATCAACGCCGCGCCGCCGTTACATCTTCCATGACCAATAGGCCGAGTGTCGGCTAGGGAAGAACGACACTGCGGCGGCCGGGAAGGAAAATCGATCAGGAGAAAGTGGACAGAAGGCTATTTGTGACGCCGCCAAGCTGCAGATGTTACTTTCTGGAGGTTACGGCTGCAGATTGATGAGCCCCGTCGCTGGTCCCGGCACATATTTCACACGGATGAACCCGCTAACGGGGACTGGCGTTTTTACGGTTGCCTTTTCCGGTCCACAGGTTAGGTGGCAGGATTAAGCGGGAGAGGGGGATGTGGAAGTGCGGGCGAGAAAACTGGGAAATGCCACGCGTCCTATTTCGAGGAGCGGAAGGTCAACACACACACAAAAAAAAAACATGGCCGACTAAAACAATGGTGGCATCCAATTGCAAACTTTTTTTGTTGTTGGCCACAAAAACAAACAAAAAAATATCAATAGCATGTGATCAATGCAAAATTATTCTAGTCATTGGCCTTGCTAAAGAAATAAAGATTAATTATATAAGCTGTGTCAAACATTGTACAGTCATTGGTGACTCTTAAAAAAATAAAAATAAAATAGTTATGACATGACCAAAACATTCTCGACAGTGGCTAATGTAAAATAGCACTTGGACTAGCGCAGTGATGTTTCCCATTTCCCAGTTTCCTTGAAAGCAGCACTGAAGCAATTTGCGTTCTTCAGGTCCGATTGACATGCTTTCGTGAGTACCGAAGGACAAAGCGCTGAAAGGCGACTTTGGACTTCCTTCTGGACCAGTGGACATTTCATTACTCTCCATTGTCCAAGATGGACACGCTAAGCCTTGGAAAGGTGTTTCCGTTCCATTTGGCGCGATGAATAACGATGACGGGAGGGCTGGCGGACTTGAAAAGACGTAAGCGTGTCCAAGCTCATGTTGGGTCATTGATCACCAATGACAAACTGCTATCGCAGAGTGGCTAAAATCAATCGCTCGTTTAGCTTTCCGAGCGAAGGGCATTGGCCAATGGGGAAGGCGAAACGAGCCCTCGTCGCCCCCCCCCCCCCAACTATAAACAACAAAGACACCTTTCATGTGATGGACGATTAACCTGGCGGAGCTTTACCTCGCACGTGACACTTTTGTTTTCACACTTGCACCGCCGCAGGACTAAATGTTGCAATTCATCTTTATATCCGTCAAGTTATGTATTTGGCGTCTTTTTTATGACCGTCATTTGAGGCATCGTGTGCTTTACGTGATGCTCCGAGTACATTGTCACGCCTGTCCAACTAATAGCCACACAGATACATTCTCAGAAACACCAGGCAGGATTGCCCAACCATAAAGCTGATTGATTCTTGATTCGTGTCGCAGTGCTCTCGTTTGACCACCAGATGGTAATAAAATGCATACTTGGGCCTCAGGGGACTTCCGTGCTTGATGTTTGCTGCAGGGCGCTTGGAATGTGACACCTTATTGCTCCCGGGACGGGATCGCGGATTTAATAGAATAAAACGGGAAGGAATTTTATTGTCATCGGGAAAAAAAAAACTGCAAATCAGTATAGTAAGCAAATGTAGAAATGTGCATTTCAAGGTCCACGTTGCTCTCACAAAAAAGGCAAAAAAAAAAAAAACCCAAAGGATGTGTGCTATGAAAAGCATATTCAAAACATCCTGCAGAAATACGGATCGAATCCAGCGGCAGGAAGTCCGCCTTGTTAAGTCACTGATTTAAGCGCTTCATAAATTCCCCATTTAACTAAACATTTATTCCCTCTGGGTGCTTTGACTGCCGTTATTTCCCGGCGCTTCCACATGAACGTCAGCCCAAGATTTAAGGGTGACCATAAGATGAACCCTCATTCAACCCTTTCTGTTTCTCTAAAGAGCAGCAAAGAAGAAAAAATGACTTTTCTTTAAAACCCCAAGCTTTTCTGGTGACTTTTAGAAGTCATATCTTGACACATTATACCTTTTAGAATAAAGGTATAAACTGGGTCAGGTGTCACATCCACACATCAAAAACACCACTGCCATCTAGTGTTGTGGTTGTAAAAAGACGACGTTAAATTCATCAGAGAAATCAATTTAAGGGTGTCATGTGCTTGTTCTTATTTTCATCCGTCCGTGACCTTTGATCCCTCAGGCGGCACTGCATCATAAACTGACTGGGCTGCCTGCAGTCCAGACCTGTTTCCCATTGAAAATATGTGGCGCGTTTATTATTATCCTCAGGTCCCAAATGTTGACTTTTCCTAAGTTATTACCTTTTTATCGGCATTTCCACAATACATCTTGTTTATATGTAGCGCTTTCTTAACAGCTGTATATGTAACTGTATACAACATTTAACATAAAATAACAATAATACAACGGAACACAATATTACAACCCCCCTAGAAAACTCTGCAAATGTTTACCATCTAGTGTCAATCCATTCTCACAGCATTTCTCTCCAAAAGTCTCATCTTAAAGCTCCATTAAAGCCTTTATTGGCCTCATCAAGACAATAATCCAATTTGCTTTTCTGCTCTGCCACTTTTTTTAATGGCGTCCTCTGCGTGAACCTTCCACATCGTCTGAGCATGAGATGGTGCACAAAAGCCAGACAAATGGTAAGCAGACAGCATCCTTAAGTATTATAATAAAGACGGCTTTTCAAATAAGCAGGGTTTTAAAACTGACTACAAAAAAAACCCTTGACGTTTAACCCCAGTATTTTACTTTCAAGTGGGTGGTGGTGTTTTGGTTTTTTTTTGTAAACATTAAATAAAGTGAATGCATCAAAGCAGGCTCTTGGAAATGTTTCAAAAGTGGCTTAAAAACATTTTTGGACAGCCTAAGCTTGTTTCATTTAATAGACTCTGCTGCCCCCTGTAAAGTCATTGATGGAGTCACACCATAGCGATGTCAACAGCATGCGTCTTGCAATGAATATCTTTGAATGCATAATGATAATAAATGCACGCAATTATTTCAGAACACGTGGGAAGTAGAATCATAAATAGAGTTTAATCAGAGTGATTGGTTTCGCAGAGTTAACGTCGCGTTAACAGGTTGTTGGAATTGTTTCTCAATCGTAATTTAATTATTCATGACCCGTTCCGGATACCTAAAGGATTAACCGAATGTTTTGTGATTCTAACCTGTCGAAAATGGGTCAAATGCGTCGTTAAATGTCCCCGGCGTTTACCACCACGACAAACTTGTGTTGGAAAACACCGGAGTCATGCACAGGGAGGTGTCAAGACAAGACCGGCGTTGGTCACAGCCAATCACATTGCGGCGTTTTCCTCGCAAAACCCACCTTCATCTACAAACTGACCAATCTTGACGAGGGAGGGAAACTTCCGTTACATACACTTCAGCACGTCCATTGTAGAACGCGATTGTTGTGAATTCATCGGCAGGTTTGTTTTAAACCGCGAAAAAAGTTGTTGCGCCCGTCGAGTTTCATCTTAAGCCGCGCCGCAGTCGTTCGAGACTGCTGTCATATGCGAAACGTGGACTCTCTTCGGAATATCCAGTCCACCTTGCGCTTGTGCTAACTAGCCGTAGCTAGCACACGTTAGCTGGCCGCGGTTGGGTTGGTCGAATGGCGACAGACGGGAGCATGTTTTCGACTCGCTTTGGAGGATTTTGCCTTTAAATACGCCACACTTGAGGGGGGGCAGTGCAAGCCCAACCCGCTCGTTATCTCGACGGACTTGGGCTCTCGGAAGGGATTTTGTGGTGTGAGTTACATTGTTTTGTTGGCGAATTCCGCAAGGAGTGGCCCCCTCCAGGATGAATGGCTTCAGTACCGAGGAGGACAGCCACGACGGGCCGCCCGCGCCGCCCCTCTACGGCCAGAGCTGCTGCCTGATCGAGGACGGCGAGCGCTGCGGCCGCTCGGCCGGCAATGCCTCCTTCAGCAAGCGGATCCAGAAGAGCATTTCGCAGAAGAAACTCAAGCTGGACATCGACAAGAGCGTGAGTAATAGTGCAAAAGCGAGGGAGAGAGAGAGAGGGAAAATAAAACACGACGACTTTTCCCCATGTGGGCTCCCCGCTCAGCGAGACATGTTGGCCGGCTGATTGACAGCTAACGTTAAGATACTTCCAATCGGATGCGCAACATGGTGTTTAGTTTTCATAGTCTTCGCTTACTTTTTGGGTCAAGTGAGCTCAGTTGGGCTTTGTTTGTGTCCAGAAGGTTTTTGGTTTGTCGCGTTCTGCGACGTATCAACGAGCGAGTTTAGAGAACGGTGCTAAAGTTAGCTGCTTTAGCACTTCCGAGTCGACTTAGTCCAACTCTCCGGCGAGGACGTTTTGTGCGAATAACACTGGCCTACTATTTTAAAAAGCGTCCTACATTGTCAAGATGTTGAGCTTGACCGCCGCTAACTTCTGCCATGTCATGTTTTTGCAGCCTAAATAGGCAAGCGTAGACTCGATTCGTTTCCACGCGTTTGTTTTTCACTCGAACCGAGTCATGTCTGCTTTGTGGTTACACGGTGACAGTGTTTTGCCACTCAAATATAGAGAAGTGTGAACATATCAGAAGCTTATGCACAAAAGCTGTTTTTAAAACGCATAAAATCATAGATAAAAAGCTGCTTGAAACCAGAAAAGGCTTTTTTTTTTTTTGGGGCTACTAATTGTTGCACACAGTCATTTGTGGTTGGTTGATGACTTGGTGAGAGTGTTTTGCAACTTGAATTTGAATAATTGTGTCAACATTTTAGAGGCTTTTAAGCGCCTTTGTTTTAATGAATGTAAAACGATGTTGCCGCAAAGGCTGTTTGTTTGCACAGGGTCACTGGCTGTGTGCACAAGTTGGTTATTTTAGAAAAGACGATGGGAACACATTTTTGGAGCCTGCAAAGCCTTCAAAATTGACCTGGAAACCTCTATAGACCAAAATGCACTCGAGCATCAACTGTGCTTCCTCGTCGATGGGGCTTGGCCTCGGCAAGATGTCACAAAACATTCAGTGTCCTATGCAAGACTTTAGAACCGCACAATCGATGCTTTCCAGACCCGCCAAATTTTCACATGTCCTCCATCACATGCGGCGAGCCATGTCAAAGGCATGACCTACAGTACATTCACCAAGGTCGCGGGAGGACGGATTGAAAGGAACATTCCAGTAGGCAGTCGGCACTTGTGGCCTAATGGCAAGCTCGCATGCTTCTGTGAAGCACTCGGTGAGCTTGATAGCTAAATCCACAACAAAACACATGCACATGTGGCTGTGATTTTTTTTTTCTTTTTTTTTTAAGCCTTGATACACTCCAGATATCCACTGGGCTTAGTGTGCAGATTTGTCAGCAGGGAAAGTTCCTGTTACACAGCTGCTCGGGAATGTTATGCCACTGTGAACTATACTTGAACGGCATTTCCCTTCCACTTTTTTTTTTGTGTGTATGCGTGTAGGTGCGCCACTTGTACATCTGTGACTTCCACAAGAATTTCATCCAGAGCGTGCGCAACAAGAGGAAGAGGAAGACGAGCGACGATGGCGGCGAGTCCCCGGATCATGACGTGGAGGTGCCAGAGGTAAAGCGTTCCCTTGAGCTCCTGTCCGCACAAAGTGTGAGAGTTCAGCTCGTCGCCGTACCGTTTGGAATGTTTAAAACCTGATCCACATTAGCCGTAGAAACTTGTATACTGTGCTCAAGAAAAGAATTCGTCACTAATCTGGTTGATGAATTTCACGTTGGTTGATGTGTTGATAGTAGTGTTGAAGTTCACTAATCTTTAGGTGAGTTCCGACTGTCTGTGAGGGCGCAATGGTGTTGGTGTGGTGAGATGATTCCAATCCAGGACTCTGGCGCTCTGACTGACCCTGTGTCGCGTCTTCGCAGGTGGACCTGTTCCAGCTGCAGGTGAACACGTTGCGACGCTACAAGCGACACTACAAGCTGCAGACCAGGCCAGGCCTCAACAAGGCCCAGCTGGCAGAGGTGATCGCACATATCACAACCGCAAATCCACCGGAATGCCATTAGGCGACCGCAAATAAGTGTGAATGACGTGTATTTGAAACTACGAGCAGACGGCGATAAATTTGCTCGACCTCGTGAGCTTTGTTGTCCAAACTCGACTACTTTTAATGGCAGAAGGATACTCAGGATTTCAATTGTCGTGTAATAGAACAAAAACAGTTTTGCATCACTCGTGCAATGTGGTTATTGTATGCCAAAATTGAAAACACTGTAGTACAACGTGGACCTTACATGGACTTTCCTCGCACCTACTACGATGTGAAATTGGCTTTTCAGTGCAGGCTCGGACCCGATGCCATGTTGTCCTCGTTATAGGCGTTCCTCGTGGTCAACTGCAGTCCTCGTTGACTTTGACGTACGCGGTGTCGCGGCTCCCACGCGGCCGTAATTGCTCACTGAGAGATTGTTAGACTAATTTGCCGCATCGACAGGTGGACTTTGCGGCAGCTGCCTTATGAAAACCTCCTGTATTCGAGCCAAGCGGCGGGGGAGTTGGCGTCGGGCGCCAACGGCGGATGAATGGCACCCGCCGGCAAGTTGAACGTTTCCCCAGACTCTGGACGTTGTTTTAACGAGCCACGCACGTCATTAATAACGCGGCGGTCCGCAGCCGACAACCGCCCACAGCTGTGCCAGTGTCCCCCATCGTGCTCAGCCGCGCTGAGTGTTTGTTTATTTTTTTACATTTTTATTAAATTTGTCTTTTTTTTTTTTTTTTAAAGCTAAGCTTTGTCCGCTAAGCTCAGGGCGGTTGCTCACTTGCTGTCAAGCACAAGTCAGAAACACCTCTCGGGCAGCACCTGAAAATCCTGACCTACAAATGGCCAATCAGCTAAATAAACATCCATTGAGTGAATGTATTCAGAACAGAAGGAAAGATTTTTGTCCACGGCCCTACAACAACAAAGCTTTAAAAAGCAAAAAGGAGCCACTTTTGCACTGATGGTATCGACAGAGCGGACCGGGGAATTTTCTGTAACCGCGACACAGGTGCGTCAAGTTGAAAAACAAAAATTGCCGGACGAAACTGGAAGAAGCTATGAGATGGGCCGAACCCCGTCCGGGATGAGCCGGCCGCAGATTATTGTCGACTAACCAGCGAAGGGCGCATGCTTCTGACTATCGAATCTTTGTTTCCTGTGCCTCTGCAGACGGTGAGCCGTCACTTCAGGAACATTCCGGTGAACGAGAAGGAAACGCTGACCTACTTTATTTACATGGTGAAAAGCAGCAAGAGCCGCTTGGACCAGAAGGGTGACGGCAGCAGCAAACCACTCGACTGAAACAAAACAACAAAAACACACACGCAGACAGGGGGAAAAAAAAAACACAAGCGATGAACACGACCAGACATGGCGAAACAACCAAAAACTGGATCCTCAATTCAAGTGCATCCCAGGAGGACTTTTTTTTTTTTTTGAGTCGCAGCCATCCATGGGCCATCGTTCCGTTCGCCCGAATGGTTGTGACTCTAGGACCAGGATGCAATTTTGACCGGACATGTGTCAACTGTCCACCATGACAGAAAAAGGCTCACTCTCCCGCCGACAGAATGTCCCCTTTAACCTCGTCAGGAAAGACAACGTCATGTACTTAAAAGACAGAGAAAAAAAAAACTTGATTTGGACCTCAAGCGCCCAGACAGGACTGCTGACATTTGCATGTGGTCTTTTCTCCACCAACATGCGCACTGCAGACAGCTATTGTTAGCACTGACATGCTGAAGGCACTTGGCCCGTTTTTAACCCTCCTGTTATTTTGCGGGTTCCAATGGGCCCATTTTATAAGTTTTAAGTACAATGGATTAATGTGTGTGAACAAGTACAACAGGATTGGATGATCAATAATATATCTAATTCTGAACTAAAAGATGAGATAAGATAAGATAAGAAAACCTTTATTAGTCTCGCAATGGAGAAATTCCCAATTCACAGCAGCAAAGTTATGAATGGAAGAAGTAGAACAACAAAATATAGGAGCTGCTGGAAAGGCAGCCACTCACGCGGCGCCATCTTGAAGTCAAAATAACAAAAATAACACAACACAACACATAGGACACAGACAGTCGTGCAATCTTCACCACTTTCCTGCCTGCATACACTTTGTTGTCTGAAGCAGTTATAGATGAAAGAGGAGAGGATCAAAGTGTCCTTTTACCAGTGGATCAGAGACGTCATGCTGAAAATGTGCACGTCTGCTACAAGCTAAGTTTTGAAAGCAAACACGAAGCTGCAGCGTCCATTGACAAAAAGAGATTAGTTCACTACTCCTGTCCCACGTAATCCGCTTCAACTCCAAGCCGCGACTCCCGGTTCCACATCCGCATCGGCGCTCTGCGCTAACTTGCTATTGAAGACTTCTGGAGACAGCTAAGCTCCAAATGAAACGGCCAAATTTAACTTGTGGAGGCAGGACATCATGACCAAGCTGCTGAATTATTGTCAAGTTTCACACAGAAGTGTGATCATTGCTTGAAAGCCATCCTTATTGGATGTGGCGGGGGGGTTTTTTTTTTTTTTTTCAATTTCCTACAGGTTTTGAATTATGGATTGAATTGACCCAGGAACATTCTTTATGTTTCTTGGAAACAAACCTAACAGGCAGGTTGCAGAGAAGCCTGTACAGAAAAATTTTGTGCTAATTGTTATCAGTGACAGGCTAAAAACCCTCCTGTTATGTTGGGGTCAAATTGACCGATTATAATTTTTTTTTTTTTCCTTAATTAGTGGCTACAGTACATGATTTTTTCCCCCTTTATTGATGACACTTTATGGATAATAGGTAAAATTGACTATTCTATTAATGAGAAATGAATGTAACGGGAGTTTTAAAAGCCCTCTCCAAAAATATTTGTAACCGCTGACATGTTAAAATCATGAGGCCCATTGTTTAACCTTCCTGTTATGTTGCAGGTCAAATTGACCCAATGTAAAAATTCATGTCTTTTTTTTTTTTTAAACTTTTAAGTGTATAGGCTTCAGTACGTGTTTGGGGAATGGGTTTTCCTAATTCTGACCATTTTTAAATAATGGGTGAAATTGACCCAGGATCACTCTGAATTTTACAAGATGGTAAAAAAAAAAAACCCACACATTTTAGTGTTACTTGTTAGCATTGAAACACAAAGCTCTTTGTCTATAACTCGCAGTGACCATTAGCGTCAGCAGAGGGCGCCACAAGTCTGATACCGTATGTGTCTGTCCTATATTTTTTTTTTTAATTATTTTTTTATTTTTGTGTAGTGATTCCAAGCACAATTTTGGGTAACGGGTCAGATTGACCTAAGAATACGATTGCGTTTTCTGAGAAGCCAATGTTAACAGGAGGGTTAAATTATGTCACCGATGAAGAGCGTCTGTCAGCACTGCGCTACGATGTTTCATGCTAGTTTGAAATCTTAGCTAGCTGAGGCTAGCTTTCCTTTGGCGGTAGTTACTCAATGACAAAATTTGAGTGTCCCGTTCAGTAAAAACACTTGTGTTTTTCACTGCGTTGATGCTTGGATACATTTGACAGGTTTTTATTTGAGATTGTTTTTGTTTTTATTCCCCACATTTTCATTTTTGCTGGTAGTTTTCGTTAGGATCACGTAGGGGATAACCATCCGTCTTTATTCACGCGTAAGCGACAACAGCCGTATTAACTTGTAACCTTTGTATTAGAAATCACACTTGTATTTAAATATGGCTGCTTAATGCTCCTGCTAATGCAATGAATAAATGTACAGGCCTATCTATATGTGGGACTGAGTGCTTTTGCTTTTAACTTTTGTTGAACAAGATGTATTCAATGACGCTTGCAATGAACTCCAGCAGTTTCTAAAACACACCACTAGGTGACAGTATTGCTCACCAAACACTTTCTGTTCCTTCATTTGCAGGCTTCCTGGAAAGCGGTGAGTAGTTTTACTTTATTTCGGTTGAATAGCAAATTATGTTTGTGACTCGACTCGTTTAATTAACTCCAGCAGTGACAGTAAGACACCACTAGGTGACACAATTGTTTGCAAACACAGCTATTTTTTTTAAGTGGAAACTTGAAATGGGATGACAAGTTTGACTGTAATTTGGTTTGATTCCAAATCGAGTTTGTCTCTGATTTTCAAGTGTTATGTTTCGAGATGATTCAATGACTGGATCAACAATTAACATTTTTTTGTATTGTATTTTCCCCATACTTTGAAGAGCATTTAATAAAAAAAAAAATACCATTGACATTCTGACCAAACTCCAAATTTGCTACATGTAATCACGCCAGTGAAGGAAACTACTGAAATCTCATATCCCTTCTCAAATTCAGAAAGCATAACACGAATCGGCAATGTTCATTTTTCTTATGTGACGTCTTAATACGTGACGTGATCTTGCGCAAAAATGAGAAACGTCACAAAATGGTGGGAGTCATAAAATTTCAATTTATTATATAGCTTCACGTATAATGTACATTCCCATCCACATTTTGCACAAATCATTGAAGTCGTACTTTTTCTTGTCGTTTGCGAGTGAGTCAAGCTGCGTTGAAGGTGAACAACATTCGAGTGCGTCTATTCAAGCGGACAGTGAGCACGTTGAGGTAGATTCTTATTATACAACAAGGCATACAAAAAAGTCACAATGTTTACGTCTTCTGTCTTGAGTATGGCTTCACACTCGGTGGAAAATATACATGATGTCATTTAGTATTTTCCTTTCGATTTTTTTCTTACGTTATATCCAATGAAATGACTTCACCTTACGCTACCAAACACGACATTCGTACACACAAAACCGAGCAACAGTAGACCAAGAAATAAAATGTGCCAATACAAACACAAAACAAAAGCGTAGCCCCCCATCAAAAAAAGGCAGTTAAAATAATCAACTAGATCCCCGAATAAAATTGCCACCAAAAGGAAGACAGTACAGGTGTTGCAATTTTAAAACGTGGGACAAAAAATGAAAGAATAATTTAAATGTATTGGTTTTGTTTTCAACACATAATTTAAACTTTTTTTCGTGGGTTGTTGGGGACACAGCAAGAAGGAGGGATAAACACAATATTCCACATTTCTTATTAAACAGCAGGAGAGAATATGAAAAGTCCCTTTTTCTTCAAACGGATGACGATGATGCGTTCACGTGCGGCCGTACAAGTGGTTTGGGAGTTATTTTTTTGGGGGGCGTGGGTCATTGGTTGAGCTCCAGAGCCCAAACCTGCTGCGGCCACCCGGTCCGACCCTTCACTTTCTTCTCGGGACCAAACGAGTCCTGTGCTGGACCTTCGTTCTGCACGAGCGACAAAAATGATCATAAGAAGAAGAAACAAAGTTTGTGATAACGTGACAAAATAAGACACAAATATCCCATACACAGTACATACCGTGTTTTAAAAGTGTATTCTACTACGATTTAAAATTATTTTCAAGTATTACCCTCAAAATGTTGTGAACAAATATTCGCATACTTGTTGGAATTTAGCTTGACGTACTTTTAAAAATTTTTTTTTTTTTGCACTGCCCCGTATTTTTATCCACACGTGACGTTCAATGTGAATTAAATTTACGTGTATTTATTGATCTGTTTAAGTATTGTAGACTGTGTGTTTGGCTACTGAAGCGTATATAATTATGTGTCGAATTTCCTGAATATTTCTCTGCTGATATATTTTGAACAAAATTCGTCCTAAATTTCACAGTTGGAAATGCGACAATGTTGTACTTGCAGAACGTGAACTGTGAACTTATGAACGCAAACTCCAGACTTATCATCTCCCCTTTTCAACTCAACTCAACTGTATTATAGAGCAGTGTCTTTCAGATCCAAAGTTCCGAATGGTTTACTTAAATATTCAGTTTTCAGATGGCATTTTATAAAGCAGCCTCCCATTAAGATTAACCCAGTTGAAGTAAACCTCACAAAGTTGTTTGACGAAAAAGTCACATTTAATGTACGCATGTGAACCAGCTCCAGTTTAGTTTTTTTTTTTTTTTTACAGATGTGAGTTTTAAATACCAATGTTCCTTTCAAATCCAATAGGTCGAAAGAAAAAAATATTTTTTAAACTAATAAAACCAAAACAATTTGAAGTTACTATTATTTTCGATTATAAACGTGCAAAGGGGGATCCATTTTAGTTTCCAGATCACGGATTTAAAATAGTCATTTTGTTTTGAGTATCCAGTTTTGAACTGCATTTTTTAAAAATATACCAGACACCTTAGGCAGTTTGAAGCAACCATCCATTAAAAAAACTAAACATTGGCATAGCATCAAGTTGATTTCAGTCACTATTTCACTCACTGTGAAGAACGTAAACTTCCAAATGTAGCCTCTTCCCTTTTCTTTTATTAGATCACGGATTTTGAAAGTAAGTTTTAAACATCAGACTCCCCTGAGAAACACTGATTTAATGCAAACTTTCGTTTCAAGGTCACTGTTGACATAAGATCGTAATGAATTTAATTGGTCTTATTTCGGTTGCAGTGGACCATTTATTTGGGGAATAACGCAGCTGTTAAATTTACTCACTGTAAGCATGCATCACGGGCAGTTACCATTTTCTTTATTGATCCAAATTAAATCATAATAAAGCAGTGTTTTTTTACATAAAAGACTCAGATTCAAAATTAGCCGATTTAAAGCAAGCCTGTGTGAAAAAGCTCCTCATTTACAGTAAGACCAACGAAATTAACTTTCTGTGGCGCGTGTAAAATTCCAATCACTGACCCTTTTCACATCCCCAATTTTCAAGTGTACTTAACTGACCATACACGATTCTGTAATGCGATTTCAATGACCAGCCTCTCTTTAAAAATCAGCCAGTGTAACGCAAACCTCCGTGAAAGGGATGCCCGCGTCGAAAGCAGCGACTCGACAGAATGGAATGAGCGTGCGATTGCGTCCTTTGGCGTGGACCTCGCAAAACGTCCACACTCACCATCTCCCTTTTCCTTTTCAGATCCCGATTCTCAAATTTCTTAATTTCGGCCTTGAAGCCTTCAGTCTCTCCGGCATCCTTGGCCAGCACGTCCATCAGGTAGGCGATGTAGCTGGTGGCCAGGCGCAGCGTCTTGATTTTGGACAGTTTGGTGTCTGCCGGCACGTTGGGGATGCACTCCCGCAGCTCGGCGAACGCCGTGTTGATGCTCTCCGTCCGCCGGCGCTCCTTCTTGGGCCCCGACGCCCGCCGCTTGGCCATGCCGGCCTGCAGGCCCTCCAAGCGGGCGTGGTCGTGCTGCGAGGTGGCGACTGAGGAGGCGGCGGCGCCCGGCGTCAACTCCGCGCCGGCCGGGTAGGGCGCCTGGATGTGGAAGTCCGGAGGCACCTCGCCGTGGTTGAGCACCCAACTCTGGAAGTAGGGCGGGGCGTCCTGGTGGCAGCGCTGCACGAATGGAAAGGCTTCGGGCATGAGGTGGTGGTGGTGGTGGTGGTGGTAGCCCCCGATCAAGTTCATCCTGGCCCGACTTCTGCTGCTGCTGCTGCTCTCGCTTGGGGTCTCGCTTCTTGACCACTTGCACGAGTCATTCACCGCTCAGTTATTTATCCAACATGTCTCATTTTAAAGAAGGGAGAAAAAAAATCACTCGCAACGAAATTTATAATTCCACAAAAGCGCCACTCTTGCGATGTAATTTCCACGGTGAGGCTCCACCGGTTGTTCGGAGAAATTTGACCCGGCAGAAGGTGCGAGGCGGACAGGTTTATAAAGGAGTGCGCGTCCTGGGGGCGCCCAATGCGGTGGAGAATGGGAGGAGTTTGGTGGGGCAGCTCCACAGAAAAGCCAAGCTTCAGTGACGCAATCGCCGTCTGGTTTTGATGAACATGAAATGATTGGTTTCCCCACAACATGTACACACGATCTGACTTTTTGTAGCAACCCTTTTCAAAGGGAAACCTACTTATTGGGAACTGGACACGCACTACTGAAATCACCAACGTGCCCTATAATAATATGATGTAATTATGAATCGTATATGCTATTCATGAGAAGACGCTGAACATGTTAAGGATGTCTCGAAATAAGTCATTGATGGTGACGTGGTACAGTCGCCTGACCTGTGTGCGGGCATTGTGCGATCAGTTCCCACTCGGTGACGGTATGGTTGTGGATGGTTGTTGGTCTGAATGTGTGCCCTGCAACTAACTGGCGACCAGTTCAGGGTGGAGTCTGTCTTCTGCACGAACTCAGCTGAGATGGGCTTCAGCAGACGCCCCTCCCCACACTTCCCCCCTCGCGAACCTGTTCAGGATAAGCAGTGTTGAAAATGGATGGATGGATTTCTCGAAAATAATTAGGAACAGATACATATTACATATTCTATAAATCACTGCCAGTATTTACGTTTTCTAATGATCACGTCTGCAATAGTCTTAGAAAATTGCAATGTCCAGGTCAGATGGACCCTTATGTGTATCTCTCACCTGTTTGGATTTGTTCATGTTTGCAAGCTTCACCGTGGTTGGTAACAATGACGTCATTTTCAGGCGACAACAAGTGACAAAATGGCCACCCCTTGATGGATTAAAAAATTTGTGAAATTTGCAACTTAATTCGTATTAAATAGACCTGAACTTCAACTGAATACCGCAGTTAGACGAATGGGGGCGCACAGAACCTACTGTCAGGATAATTTGTGGCGAGACTCGTCCTCTTAAATTTATTAGACATTTAAAAACAAAGTCATAGTTTGAAACATTTTCAAGATTTAATGGTGAGTTTAAATTTATTTAATGGATATATTTTGTGTGTTTTCTCTCCCATGATCTTAACATTGTGAGTTAATATGCGATGTTTTTGAGAATGGTGAGCGCTTTCGCACTTCTGCCCCCCCCCACTCGCCCCACCACCCCGCTCTTGCTCGCCTTCTGTCCATGCAGGCGTAAAAACCCAAAAGCAACACGATCTCATTACATCGCGTGACCTTGACGCTATTTTCAAACCATTTACGGCCGCGTCTTATCTAAATACAACCATAAATCACGCAGGGTGTGTTTCTTTTTTTTTCTTTCTCCTGCATATATTCCATCGAAGCTGCTCGCTCTTCTTACTGTGTTTACACAGCGCCACTTTGCTGCCTTTTCTTTTAAATAATCATCTGTCACTACGTCCTGTCGAGCCTCTGAGCTTTGTGTTGATGTGGTTTAATTTATTTATTATTTATTTATTCATCTTTTTGCTGGCCAGTTGATTAGGTAAACCTGCACCATGGCCAAGAGCCTATTTGAAAAGGTAATGCTTTTTATGTAATACTAATATGTATATTAGTAACTTATATTTGTATTCATAGTGCTAATATTGAGCCATCAATGTGTTTCTTAAGTTTCCCATGAAAGTAATACAAACTATGCCTCTCGAATTTATTTTATTTATTAATTACAATATTCCCCTTTTCATTTGGCTCATAGTTTCTACTTTTTTTATTTGTAGTATCCTATTTTTTCAAACAATAAAAATACTTATATTTTAAAAAGTATCAATTCAACAACAATATTAAAATATAAATCTTAACCAAAAAAATCAACGCATGCAGAAAATAAAACACGAGGTGCATTATAAATCAATAGTATATTGTAAAAATATAAGTCACGTCGGATATACAAAGTATTAGGACTCAAGAAAAATACAAAAATATTTTAAAATCCACATACAAATTAAATGCATTAAGATATATATTTTAAAAACTGAAATAAAAAATAATGCAGAATAAAGAAACAATAGCTGAATTTAAAAAAATCTAATTTTTAAATAAATGTTTTTGAAATCACAAAATTTGGATATTTGAAAATTTATTACTTTTTTCTTAAAAAACGAACAATAAACAACACATTTGTCACTCTGTGCCGTTATTTTGACATTGCATGTATGAAAAAATGGGAATTTTACATTTTTTTATCAGAAACAGATCATTTAAATCTGTTTCTGATACTATTTTCCCGACAAACGCAGTATTTCCACATGCATGCTTCTAGAATTGTCCCGTGAGTGTTTCACTTTTTCAGATTTTGGGGGATTTGTCCGGCGAGTTGCATCCCCGCGGCTGTCAGCCTGAAGAAGTCCATGCGGCCTCCAGAAAGCAAACCTGACACTGTTGATTAAGACGTCCACTATGCAGGCATGAAATATAAACCTCCACCCCCAAAACAATCTCGCCGTCTTTCCCCGAATCGTTTCTCTCATTCTTTTATTCTCCATCCCATTGCGTCACTTTATTTTTTTTGCCGAAAAACACAAACGCCTTCTCTTGATCTTCTTTTTCGGATTTGATAGCATACCGCGGAGGTGCCGAAAGGGGCGAGTGCAGGCCGCCCCGCCGCCACACCAAAGGACCCCGCCCCCACCACCCCACCCGTTTCCCTGGCATCGCCAAGGGAAACGACCTACATAGGCCGCGAGCAGCCATCTTGGCCGTGTTATGAATTCCCGGCATAATTGTTTGTGTCGTCGCGTCGACGTTTCTATAGACGGCGCTTCCCCCCTCTTCGGAGTGCTTGCCTTCAACTCTTAACATCTCCAAACAAACAAAACATCGGGCCCGTGAGTCAAAGTGTGTTTCCCCAGCCTACAGTACAGCACGCTAGGCTAATTCAATTCAACGCCTTTAATTAGACGCGGCGGCGGCTAGCTCGGCGTTCTGGGAAAAAGCGGTGGCCACGTCATGGCGGCGGCACGTCATGGCGGCGGCGTCTCTTTCAGTAGTTAAAAAAAACTACGTCAAGTTTCCGTCTAAACGCTGCCGCCGTATTAGTTAAGACGGGTGAGTCGGGTTGGAGGAGACTAGCGGTGGCGCCGTTTTGACAGTCGCGGTCGAGTCAACCACCCACGAAAGAAGGGGCTCACCCAGATATGTAAAGTCATAGTATGCCGCGCAAACTGAAAATGTTTTCAGACTCAAAATGTTTTTCGGGAGTTAGCAGGCCTTTTCCTAATTCATGTGCGTTAACGTGTGATTTAATAAAAGTAATGAATGGCCGAATGATACAATCTGAGCTAGTTAGGTCACGACCAGTATTTCGGCAAAGATAAAAATATATATTTTTTCCCAAATCTTAACACGATCAACTGCAACGATACGTAGAAAACGGTAATCGTACTTGTGTAGCTTGACCGAGGGGCGCAAAAATTGGCCAAAGGATCAAAGTTAGCAGACTACTTCCTGGTTTGAAGACAATCATGTTAAAAATCTGTGGATGGTGCATTTTGTTTCTTGGGTGTACTGTTCCATTTTGCGCCAGTGGCAAAAACCTGAGAAGTAAAACCCTGAACAAATTAAAAATGCGTACATTTCAGTTGGAAAACATTGACGTTGTTTTTTTTGGGGGGGGGGGGACAGTCTCTCTAACGTGCTTTTTGCTGCCATTATCATGTCTTAAATGTTGCAAGCTAACTATTCGTTAAGTTGCTAGCTAACCAGGTTATTAGCGAAGTCATTTTTGAGCGTATTCCATAGTCAAGGGGGGGGGGGCAAACAAGGAAAGTCCAGTTGATTCAACCTTTTTTGGATCACATAGACCGTTTTTTTAAAGCGATTTTTTTCTTGATATTGTGACAATAATTTCAAAATGTCATCTGCAATCACGCTTTAAGGCTAAGAATTTAGCATTGATTGTACATAAATTATCTTCCATGGTTACATCATTGCTGTCCAATAAAAAGCATCTCCAAAGTTTGTCAGATGTAATCAAGAACAGTTGATTTTTTTTTTTTAATTAAAAAAAATAAAACACCATCAACAACAACTAAGCCCCGAATCTGGACATGCATGTCTTCTCTTGGACAGCGACGTGATTGACTGCTCTCAAGCTGTTCTCAAGAGAAACTTAGCGCTTTTTGAACTGCTGCTGATCTGCCAGCTTTAGCGCACCGTTTACTTTTACGGCGGCCATTCCACTCCGCGTTAGCTCTCACCTCACCTCCCCTCCCGGCCCGCTTGGCTCTGGCTATCACCGATCATCTCTTCTTAAGCGTATATTTGTATCGCTATGTACATATTTCATACAGCAGGCCCTTGATAAGGACATTTCTCTGATCCTGCAGGACTCGCCCTCTGTAATTCTGCCCGTCCGCAGCCAATAAAGATAAGAGGCCGACGTCTGGAATGCCGCAGGAAGGTGACACTGAGGAGATGGAGGAAAGGAAAAGACACATTGTGACACTCGGTAAGCAACTTCTCAGCTTTTTGTTTTTTTCCTTTATTTATGGTTATTAGCAGGAATTTTATGGTCGTGTCTCTTTCTGCCCTACTTATTTTCAAATATACACCTAAGATCAGCATCTCATAAATTTTACTTGAATTCAATTCATGTATTATTTGTGGTGGTGGTCGTGGGGAGGGTGCTTTAATTTTCTTCTTTAGAAGGCAAATTAGTGCAGGTCGAGCACCTCTGCAGTTAAGTAGTGTGCAGCATTTTGCCTAAAAAGTCAGTTAAATTTTTGGGGGAATCACTTCCATTAAAAAATAAATACATGATAGATCTAGAAAATGAATTTGTTAGGTTAGATAGGATTTGGGAAAAAAAGTTTTCTGACATTCCACCAATTAAAATGTCAAAGTGGATTATTTATACATCGCGTGTACGTCAGTTTAGTAAAAACTGACATAACTTTTAAACTGTCGAATCTTCACAAGTCCACTATACAAAAAATACCAAAGTACACACAATCAACAGAATTTAAAAAAAAAAATCTGAAAATGATTCCGCAAATGTTTTTCACTCCAAAATAACAACTTTTCTTTTTTCACTTGAAATTAAATAACTCAAGTTTTAACATTCATCAGTTTTTTTTTAAGTTATACTTAAATCCCCATAGTAAAAATATGGAATCATTTAGCTAAAAAAAAAAAAAAATCAGTCAAAGCTCAGACAAAAATCAGAAAAGAAGTTCAGGACCTCCATGTATTTCATATTTACCAACCTTTTGCTCATGCACACCTCAATACTCTGTAGTCCGCTATTTTCTGCTACTAAGCAAAATGATTATTGCTACGACACAATTGAATGCTTTTTAAGATAAGAAGATAAGAAAACATTTATTTGTCTCACAATGGAGAAATTCCCAATTTACAGCAGCAAAATTATGAAAGGGAGAAAATAGAAGACAAAAAGTATATCATTAAATATAAATAGGGAGGCAGCATCAAGAACGGCAAAAAAAAAAAAAAAAAAAAAAGTCAAAGGCGTGAAATGTTTGAAATGCGGCCATATAGATATGTGTCGATTCTGCTTTTGTAGCACGTCCTGCTCTTGAGCATCATGCGTGCCCGCGGTCCGGCGGACCACCGGGCAGGCGGGCCGGCCGAGGCTCTAATGATTTCACAGCCGTCGGGCTTTAACAGGGGGTGGCTGCTCTGTGTCAGACGAGCCCGTGAGGATTGCAGCCGGGCTGACAGTCAAAACACCGGCGTAAAGGCTTGACCCCGAGCAAACCTCCCGCTGGAGACGCATCAGGGACCCGCCGTCTCTAAAAGCATTTTTGCCACACACTGCACGAGCGCCACTCACAAATTTTGCTTTTAAGGCAGGCCGGGGTGAAAGGCCCCCTTAAAATTGCTTTGTCGCCTGTCTGAGGACTTTCCCATCCTCAAAATTGGCAAACTTTGGCGGGTCTGCCACAGAATCTCTTGGGGAAAATTCCGCCTCCAAAGTTGGTTTCGCTTTGCACCATGGAATTTGGTAGACATGTCTACTGTGAGCAGACCCACAAAAAAAGTCTCAAGAAGCCATTTCTGTCACAAATCTGCAGGACAGCTCCCATTTGTGAGCCATTTTGGCCATTTCAAGGTCACTCGCACCCTGCGATTTTGTTTTTTAAATTCAGCCCCCAAAGCTGGTTTTCGTTGACCAATATGACATTTGGTAGACATGTCCATCTTGAGCGGACCCACAAAAAGGACTCAAGCCATGCCTGAAAAGACACAGAAAGTCTGCCATTTGGGGGCCTTTTAAGTCATTAGCAGGTCGGTAGCAGAATGGAATCTACATACGCTTTCATTTAGCTACATAAAAGTTAATAGACTTGTCTATCTTGAGTAGACCGACAAAAAAGTCAGAAGAAGCGGTGATTTTGGCCACTTCCAGGTCAGTCATGCCCCAGAAATATCGGGGGAAAACTTGACAACCGAAGCTGCTTCCCATATCTTTACCTCTCTATTAGTAGACCTACAAAAAAGCCATACGCCAAAACGCCCAAAAGCTGACTTATCGGGGTCAATTTTCAAATCAGAAGGACCTTGGAAATTTTTGACTGTTCAGCCTTCTAATACTGGTGTCACTGAGCAACATGAAAGATGGCAGACATGTATGTTCCGATGAGAGCCACAAAAAAGCTTCAAGAAGCCATGCCAGAGAAGATATAGAAGTCTTTTCCTGCATGTCTTCTATTTGCCAGTCGTCAAAAAACTCTGCTGGGTTGAGGCTCAAAGTGTTTTTTTGGGGGGGATGAAATCCAGTAAAATAAATGAGGGGGAAAAAAATAGCAAAGAATTCCTTCTTGTTCTTCCTCCACAGAAGAACTCCTCGCAATGCTCCATTGGGGGTTTGAGGTTCAGTTTACTTCCAAGATTCATTTCACTTCAAATTATTTCAGGTGCAGGGATTTACTTTTATAGTTGGCTCGGGTTATATGATATTACACTTTACTTTTGTCTGCACTCAGTTGTAAGCAAAAAAAAAAAAAAAAAAGTCCCAAGTATTCTTGGAATTTACCATGACGTCATCACCTGATATCTTTTAATATACCGTTGGCGTAGCCGTAAAGATTTTCTTCTTCTCGGCTACAAATACGATGTTACTTTTTGGCATGCGAGAAGTTGTTGAACACGCATCAAATGAAATCTTCGGGTGCTTTACTTCTCATTCTTCTTGCGTTCAGCGCTACGGCGAGATAACCCAAAGAGGTCGTTGCCCGCGTAAAAGTCGGATGTCGCTTTTCCGAAAGGCCATTTATCCAATCAGGAAGAAATGCAGCAACACTCTGGAGGTCATTTGTGCTTTGGACAAAGATAATGGCCCCTAATGGCGGCGGCGGCTAGTTAAAGTGGTCTCGCTTGTTCATTCATACTCTGCACACGTCGCCGGCCAGACTCATTAAAGCCCACGAATGGGTCACAGATGTGCCACTGGGCCATTAGTGTTACCTGGAAGGTCATTTGCATTTCTTTATTTATTTCTCTATTTGTTTTTCATTTGGCTACTCATTTGAACTTGTGAGGTCTGCACAATCAGTGTTCTCAAACTTACATTATAGTAGATCTCCGCCTTTTGTTACAATCAACCACAATATCAAGAATACTATTAGTGCTATTGTTTGCATTTTCAATGAAAAAAAATGTGTACAATAAAATGTCTTTGCGGAATATTTCATCAGAAAAAGGAACCTGGAATTAAAAGAACCCAAAGTGGTTTTCAAATTGCCGTCTTGTTAACGTGTCCTGACTGCTTCCCCTCTTTGCGTGGTCCTGGCCTCAGCTAAAACTCGGCCCTATCTCTCGCCGTCTAAAAATAGCCTCGCAGCTGCGGTGATAGCGTCAGTTCGGCCCCCCGCGGAATGCCGCGACAGGCTCTGCGACTCCGATTGGATGCTTATCAGGACCAACGCCACCTCTGATTGGATGCTTACCGGGGGGCACGGTTGGCACGATGACCTTTGCAGTATCAGCTGAAAGACGCCGTCGCCGGCGTGCCAGCGTGTTGATTTTCGCACCTTTGCTGTTTTTAACTTGCGGAAAGATGTGAAAAAGGAAGCCCATCCAAAAGTGTCCTTGTGATTTCGCATAATGAGAGGAGTCACTGTCCTCTGAAAATCCCCTATCTCCAAATAGATTGAGTTTTGGGGGTTGGGCCAAAATGGATTTTTTCGAATCAAACTAAGCAACGCAAAAAGTGATGATATGCAAGTCAAACTTGGTGGTGTCGAGTGAAAATGTCATCTCCTCACCCCCCCCACCCGCTACCTGTAAACAACAATTATTTTAGTTTTCATTATTTTAATTATTCTTAAAAACGTACCTATTTTTTTGGGGGGGGGGCGGTGTATTGAAGTTTAAAGAAAACTTTGTTTTAGATGAACATTTTAAAAAGCTGACAAATTTTTGAGTGTCGCTGTGTTTTGGTGGTTTTCTCCGAAATCCACCATTTATTTATTTTTTTTGCTTGTCTACTAATTGCAACAAAATCAAGTAAGTCGTTATTTGAGTGAAAAGTATACATTATAAATGTGTACTTGCTGTTGAATTCAAGCGCGCGTCTCCAAATTTTTGTGAGTCTTGTTTTTCTCCAAACTACAACAGACCAATTTTCCCTTCTAAAACTTTTTCATCTCATGTTTTTCCATATTAACATCGGCCATAGTAAATCACAGCATTTTATCTTCCTGAGCTACTTTGTTTATCCCCCCCCCCCTCCAAAAAAGGGTAGGGTGGGGGGAGGGGAGGCCTTGGCGAGTGAAAGTCGATGCACTTTTCCCGAGCAGATGTAATCGTAGCGTGGGAAGCAACGTAGCGCTGATAAGGTTGTGTATAAATTAGCGTGGATTTTTAGGTTAAAATACTTGTAAAGATAAGAGTGACTCCTTGAAATTACACCTGAGATGGGGCCCGCCGGCGTTTGGCCAGTCCGCCGCTGTCCACATAAATCTGAGCGTGAGTGCTTTGTGGCTGCCCAGGTCACCCGTTCATGTGGGAAAGGAGAGATGAGAGACCGGGGGTCAATCTGGGCTAAGCCCCGCTGGTGCCAGCGGACTCCCTGGGACCCCAAGCCCTCCCCGCCGTCTCCCGAAAAGCCTCCCCCACTCTCCGCCTGACAGCGATGACATCATCAAACGCCATCCATGAGGATGACTCCGCGTTCGGGTGCGTTGTCCCATCTGGCCGGGAAACGGATCGACTGTTCTGGAGTGTTTGCGAAGCGGCCCCGCTAAAAGAAAGCGGGTGGGAGAACGCCGCCCAAGCGCGCATCAGCAGCAACTGGACGTGGCGACCGTACCCTCGGAAAAAGGCTGAAATTGCGTCAGGTGTGTGAGCAAATTGTTGTTCGAGCGTCTTGCTGCTCACAGGGGAAAAAGTCAAACTCGTAAAATGTGCATTTTTTTTTTTTTTTTTTTTTTTCAAACAGCGTCATGGTCATTTTTAACCCACCAGTATGGGCCATTTTACCCCCTTTGTTGGATCGAAGACTTGATCCAACATGCTGGGTCAAATCCTCAAACCAATGCGCTGGTTATAAATAACCCGGCGTGGGCTCCGCCCCTTTGGGGACCCAGTGCTGGCTTACTTTTGACCTTGCAGTTTCATTCTAAGAACAGCGGGGTTAAAAATAATCCAGTTTGGGTCCTTAAGGGATGGACGAAACTCAATGAGAAATCCACAACAAAATCCCAAAAGATGAGGTTGTTTTGTATGAAACACCTCCAGACTGTGGGTTATTCTGTCCAAATAAAAGTCCCACAAAATTGGGTTGTTTTGTGGATTCTTCATTCAAGCCAACTTTTTGCCCTGTTTTAAACCCAACTGCTGTTCGAGTGTGCCACACACTCTATGGGAGGTGTGAATGGCGACCTTACAAGAGTGATCAATACTATCAGATTTGAATGTGATCAACAGGCAGCAGTACCGCACTGTAAAAAACACTTGGGTCCAGAAGAACCCAATTTTGGGTCCAAAAGGGGTTGACCGACTACTTGAGTCAGATTGAGCCAATTTTCCCTTTTTGGTGTTGTTTTGTACAAAATGATGCAATTTTGAGGGCGTTATTTTATTTATTGATTTATTAATTTGGCGTTGCTTGGTGCAAAACAACCCACAACATTCAAAGTATTGGATCCGTCCATTTTTGTCGCAAATTCGGTTATTTTTGACCCAACTATTTTTAGAGCGCCTCAATCCGTCTGTCCTCTTGGGATGGAGTCGGGGAAAAAAAAAAAGCGTGTGCGCGTGTAAGCGCGAAGGCTTCCGGGAGCCGATCGGAGGCGCGATGCCGCTACCCTGCGCACCATTTTTTCATTCCGCCGGCTTTTGCGTGTCGACTCCGCTGGGCCGTTTGTCCACTGAGGAAAAACAGACGTCTCCTGTGTTGCCGCCTTTCTTCCTCCTCCTCCTCTCCCCCCCCCACCCCCTTCCACTTTTTGCCCCTTGGGCTTTTTTTATTTTTATGGCAGGCCTTCTGTAACACATGATGACCTCAGTGGTGCATTAGATGCATGGTCAAGAATCCAAGCGACTTTTCTGCATCCGATTTTCACACAATTCTGCTTTATTCCCCCCGTTGTTGAGCCGTCATTTGAACACACAACGCTGCCTAGCGTCGGCTCGATGCAGCGGGGCAAGCGGTGATTTGGCCGTTTTGGCACATGAGGGCGTCGCGCTTCCTGTCGCCTTCAGTCCGATGAATTAAAAGCCAGCTCCCAATATAAGCGGAGGTTGGCATTCCGTGAAAGGACTTGGACGCATTCCTTCCGGCCGTGATGCGCAGGTGAACGACGTCAGTGGGGAGGAGCGAGGGGGGGGAAAATGTCGTTCATCATCTGCAAACTTCACACATAATGACGTGAATATGGAAGATATGGACAAGCAGTTAAAACAGTCGCTCTATGAAAGCATGCAATCCAAATATCTTTCCATTTTTATATATATCCAGTTTACACACACACACACACACACACACACATGTATATATATATATATATATATACACACACACACATATATAAAAATGTGTTGTGTACGATTTTGTTGACACGTCTACCATGTCAATATTAATCATGGACATATTTTAAATAATAGACTTTGTGCTCTCAACATCGACGCAAACGTGTTACTAAAACCATCTTAGCCGTACTAAGGAAGCGTCAAGTAAGTGAATTGGATGACTCAGCAAAAAGGATGTTTGACAGTTGAGCTGGACCAAACAAATTCTCTGATGGTGTATCTTCGTTTTCTTGCCAACATCAGAAAAACTTCCAAAAGATCGCTCCCCCTTTTCCAAAACGTCTTCTGCCTAAATTGTTCTCCCATTGCGGTGAGCGCCGTCGAACAATGACACGAACATTTTGGGAGCCTTTAAACGATTAAAAGGAGATTATGGGCTCACGCAGAACATTGTCCGTCTTGATCTGATTATCAGTGCGATTATGACACGCAGCATCCGTATGACATCATCGCGGGGGCTTCGTTTGATACATCAACGTTTGGCGCTCTCGCTTTGTTCAAATCAAAAACCCATCGGCCAAATTTGAGCGGCAAGAGCGTGTGGGCTGGCTCCCTGCGTCCGCTTCATCCCGCGGGTATCGCAGCCAACTGTCTGCTTTCATCCACAATCGTCCATTTGTGTTTTTGTGTGTGTGTGTGTGTGTGTGTGTGTGTGTGTGTGTGTGTGTGTGTGTGTGTGTGTGTGTGTGTGTGTGTGTGTGTGTGTGTGCGCGCGCTTTTGTGGACGTTTGAGTGATGGTCTGCTTTCATGCGAGCCGCAAAGTCTCGCTTGAGGAGACAAACAAGATAAATGGACCTTCGGCGCACAAACCACATCCTTTGCTCCACACAAAAGTTGCCTTTCAAGTCACATTTGCCAAGACGTCAAAAGCACGCAGACTTATTTCAGCATCGATACGAGTTTATCTTTTTTTTTTTTTTTTTAAACAATAAATAAATACAAATATTCTGGTTTGCGAAACGTCCCTCGATGGCGTAAGGCAACGTGAACGCGAGCCGGCCGACGTTCTTCAGCTCCCTCGTGAGGGTCGTACATTATCCAACTAGTAATCCACTTTTTTTTTTCAACAGACAAGCACCCCGCCCACATCCCCCCTCACCCTCCACATCATGTGAGCTAGCTCCCCCTCCCCCAAAACAACCCAGGCCCATCGAGCGCCTTGTTTTTGTTTTACGGCATAATCCGTCTTGTCCGTCTTTGCTGGCGAATCCGATTTTTACGGCTTGCTTATACATTCCTGCAGCACATGGTTTACATACCGGGATGGTGGGGGGGGGGGCGTCCTAAATCAGCTGGCAGCTCGGAGCAGCTGGGATAAGGTGGGGAAACTTGTCATCGGGCAGACCTCCGCGCCCCCTCCCCTCCGCCTTACCTGCGATTAATGACGGCCCGCGCTTGTAGATCGCAACGTTCAGGCTTGACCCTAGCGATTAAATTACGACCGCGGAAATTAAATTTTGACTCCTGTCGCTATCAGGCACCGCAAGGGCGGCGGAGGTTGGGGCTGCTGGCTACCCCCCACAATCCACGACTCCTCCTACAGGTGCCCATTCATGAAGCAATCCCATTCTTGGGGGTTCATGTCAATGGGAGAATTCTGCCAATGACCCGCCGACCTTCAGAGGGGCGGTTTTTGAAATTTGAAACATTTTAAAGAGTCCAGCGCACCAACCATGCAAATACGCTGCCTTTTGTGGTCCTCAACGTCGGTCCGCTAGTTGCGGGGTTCCAAAGGTGGAGAGGCCGGCCGGGAGAGGTGGGACCGAGCCATGTTTCCAACATGCGAACAGAGAGATGCAAATTTGGTGCTGTTCAGGTTTGTCAGCTTTAGGGTGGGGCATCGAGAAACGAGTAGAACTGGGGCCAACATTCCGGGTCTCCTTGAATCGTTGAGGTTTTTAAAGTGTCGAGCCAAAATTCTGATGCCGAACATGAAAGAAGGACGAATAGGAAGTGTTGTTTTCCCCCTAACCCCGCCCCCTTGGTACCAGTTCGCCTCGGGGTAACACCTGTAAATGTAATCCTTTATGGATTTGTCAATTAGCTGCCCCCCACCCACACACACACACCTCCCCCCAAGCCCCACCACCCTCTTCTGGTGCCCATTCATAAAATGCTGCCATCCCAAAAGTGCTGAGGCGGGTTCTAATGAGCTGGGGGGGAGTTGTCGGTGACCCCGCCGGCTGGTCGTCCGCCGCTCTTCGGGGTGGGTCCGGCGGCCATTTAAAAGCGGCCTGTGTTCCAGGTGAGGGCCTGCCACACAAATCCTCTGTTACCTCCTGTGCCTTTAAAAAGCTTCTTTCAGTCATGTTAACAGCTCATAAATGGCCGCCCACATCTTCAGACCCTCCAAAATAAGCGCAGGCCGTGGGCTTTTATACTGATCGCCCCTCAGGAGGTTTTGGCGGAATAACGACGGCTTTAAAAGCGATAACCCTAGCTGCTGGATAAGGCGCGGGCTCATTAAATACAAAGAGTTCCAAAAGTCCATGAAATGAAATAAGCATGTAAAGAATGCCAAAGGGCAAATGACGTATCAAAACAATTCTAAGCGATGCAGTCGAGGATCTTTCAGAATGGTGAGAAAGTGAAACACTTTTTTGAAAAATCAATCTCGATATAAATCAGGATGTATTGTATTGTTGAATTTTTTTGGATGTTTGACAGAATCATTTCCCCAAACCAGGAAGTAGCTCTTTTTCGGGTTTAAGCTAGTCTCTTTGTATTTTCAAGCATTTTCGCCACCGCTTTCTCGCCAAAAGTGCTTTCCTCATCATTTTTCAAGAGCTAGCTATTGTATATCACTTTGCCGTGTTTATGTTGCCATTCAAGTATTCCACACTCCTTTTTTTTTCTTTTCCCCCGGCAGCTGTTGCTCGGCTGACGTCAAGAAGAAGAAAAATCGTCAAAATCCGACATCCTCCCTGGGGGAGTCCCGGCCTGGCAAAATAAGCTTATTTTAAGCATGCGGAAGAAGCAGCGAGGTGAGTTTGTTCTTCTTGAAACGTCTTACGAGCAAAAAGGATGTTAGCTCATTAAGGAAAGGGGGAACCATAAATCTGTCCCGCCGCCTTCACTTGCGCCCCTTCACATCTGGACGCTAGCTTCTCTTCTTCTTTCGGCGAGGGATTTATGGGCCACGTCACTATTTGCCGCTGGTACCGCCGCCTCTCGCGTTCGGGACCTCCGCCAAGGCCTTAATTCCCGCCCTCCCTCCCTTAATCCGGATACTCGTGTGAACATGTGCTTCGTCTGGTTACCGCAGTGTGATGTCACAATACGGTTAAATTAGCGAGTGGTGGATTTGTAGTCTGCACGGGAGTGAACATGGAGTCTCCGAAACACCGCAAAAAGTATTGGAGGAAAAATAGTCCGTAGGATGATCGAAAAAGTAAGCTATATTCTGCAATAAATTTACCAAGTGGTCGAAACGCCCGAGCTCCACCCCCTGGTCATGATTGTGAAAGCGCGATATAAATCAGCATGTATTGTATTGTAATCATTTGCTTGAGACGGACACTTGGAGATAAAAAAAAATGTGTTGAACAAATGTAGTGTTGCGCATGCTAATTAATTGCCATTATTTCCAGTAGGATTGTTTTGCTTTCTGTAAATCCAAGCAAATGCACGCCAGATGTCAAGCGCGAACACAATGTCGCAACGTCTTCATTTTATCTCCCAGTCAGACATGACATCAGCAGCGCTAAAACCCTTTCAGAAATCCTCCTTGAGAAGCTCAAGTTTGTCTCGCGTCGGTGTTTTTAGCGCGCTCTCGGCCCTCCCTTTTCACATGGTCCGAGGTGGCCGATAGATCAGCGGAAGAGCGGCGGCGTGACCGTCATGATGTAGCGAGCCCCCGGGTCGGAATCTCCCGTGTACGTGTAGACAGGAGCGAGCGTGGCCACGGTCGAACACGCAACGCCAGACGCTTCCAATTAGCAAAGTGCCCGTATCACGTGGCCACACCTTGGTGGCTGTGAACATTTGTTTTTTGGGGGGTGTAATTAAAAAATAATCCTGCTTGCTGGACATTAACCAAAAAAAAATCCATTTGTACCATAATACTCTTTGTTGGAAAGCACAAAGGAAAATAATTATACTGAATAAAAATTTGAATATACAAAAATTGAAAATATTTTTTACTGGTCAGTGAATATATAGATCCAAGTTAAAAAAAACAAAACGTTAAATGAACAACAAAATAAAACAACCTCACATCCGGAAGCTTATGTGTTGGATGTAACGCAAATTCAAACTCATTTGAATTTAGATCCGATCAGAATCCAAATCACAGTGAGCCTGTTCAGACGGGTTTTGAACGTTTGATTCACGTAGAATCTGTTATCTGGAATGATGAAGACACTTGGGCTCTTTTAGCCACTTGTGGCTATCAAGCGACTAGCTTCAAATGTTTCAGGCCTTGGCGAAGGTCTCTCATTTGTTATCTTTCTGAAATTCGATTTTTCCGTCCAGCTGTGTCTCTTGCCAGGAGCAGTTAGCGTGGTTTAGAGCAGACGCGCGTGGCACAAAAGGAAGCTTTTCCTTTAATGTTATCACGGCGGTGCCGGCTAATGAAGATAATGCGACTACGCCGCATCACAGGGACGCTTTTATTACGTTTCAGGGGCCGTCCATCCTCATCTTGACTGATCACTCGGGGTTTTTATTTATTTATTTTTGGGGGTTTGGTGGGGGGGTGAGGTGGAGTCTGGCGACAATGACGCTGCCGCATCTGTTTTGCCCAGGGCGGGCAGGCCGGGGCTCGTTAGCGACGTTAGCCTCGGCTAAGTGCGCCCTTATCATACGGCTGTGGGGGGCATCAACATGAGACTCGTCACTCTGTTGTTACTATGGTAACACAGAATCACCAAATTTGAGTCCTTTTGGTTGCTGTGTTTAAGCATTAGCACCAATGCTAACGGTGATAGTGCGAAAGGCTAGCACTCCCCACTCTCCATCGATCGAACATGAATATCAGCTTCTAGAATGCTTGATTTGGTGTTGCCATGGTTGCAAAAAATACATTTGATTTAAAAAAAATGTTATGAATTGAATTCATTTATTTATTTGTTGCTTAAAACGCCTGCACACAAATCTGAACAGTGCCGTTAGCGAGTGCACTGTGCTTGTAAAAACATTGTCGCACACGAAGATGATAAATGTTTATTCCGCTACATCATGTTTTAAAACAAACACGTTTTACTAGTGCTAGCGTTGCGTTAGCATTAGCATCACTTCAGATGCTTGTAAAACTGTCGGCCCCGCGCTAAAATCCTCAATGTTTATTTGAGGACGTGCAGTTATAACAAAAGTGAGTTTTACTGCCAGGCAGATGGCACAAAGTTTTCGCAGTAGCTGTAGCATGACTTCAGACAGTGCAGCGTTTATTTTTAGTGCTTGGATTGATTTTGCATGTTTTTGTGTGGTTACTTTTTATTTGGATTTTTGTGGAATCAAATGAAGTTGCAATTTCTGTTGAATTCTTTGATTACATTTTTATGATTATAATTAGATTGATACTTGCACAGGATGTTATTTTTTTCAGAATTTTAATGTCTGCATTTTTTGTGATTTTTGGGAAGTCGCAATAGTTTTAATTCTCAATTTATTTGTCTATCTGTTATTTAATTTTAGGGATGTTAATTATTTCAATAAGTGTGGTATAGATTTTTTGCTTTCATTGTACTGTTTTTGCTGGATTGTCTTGAAGAATTTCCATTAAATTTTTTAATGGAACATTAGTTGGTTTTAATGATTTTTTTTGTATTTAAATTCATTTCAATATCAATTATTTTTGTGATGGAAATCTGACTTACACTTGCAATATTTTGGTTGAATGATATTCATTGACAGTTTTGGTTGTTGTTTTTTTGAAAATGGCCTCATTAGACGCTGCATTTTCAGTCATTTAAAGGCTTCATAAATAACACCGCTACGAGGAGTGAAAGTGTGTCATGTCTTTAACGCTCGTCGGAGCGTGTGAGGCAACTCCCAAACATCAGACCATAAACTTTTTTTTTTCCTCCTTGTTTTTATCTCATACATTCCGACTCTCTGGCTTGTTTATTTGAAAGTGTTGTAAAAAAAAAAAAAAAAAAAGTTCCAACCTGGTCTGGAGCGCTAACCCCTTGCAAGCCCAAATCTAAATGGGGGGCTTTGATGTGTCTGTTGTTATTGTTTGTATCAGTGCTTATCACCACCCCCTTCCCCAACCCAGAACCCCCTTAAACGCACACCCCAATCGCATCCCTGCGTCATTACACCATTCCTCAGTTCGGCCGCACCAATTTTCTCCCCACTTTCCCCCACATCCTCTCCTCCATCCATCCATTCGTCCATCCATCCGTCTGTCTGTCCATTCATCCAGAGTGCCCCCTTGCCTT